ACTTTTTGCTTTCTTCATGTATGATGTTCTTGATGTCTTCCCACAACTCTTCTAGTCTTCCGCCTTTAGTGTGTAGTGTATCAAATCTGTTCTTCAGATGATCTCTAAATTCAGGTGGGATATATTCAAGATCATACATTGGCTCCCATGGACTTATTTTCATTTTCTTCAGCTTCAGCTTGAATTTGCATATGAGTAGTTGAAGGTCTGTTGCACAGTTTGCCCCGGCCTTGTTTTGACTGATGATATGGAGCTTTTCCATCGTATCTTTCCGCAGATGTAGTTCATTTGATTTCTGTGTATTACATCTGGTGAGGTCATGTGTATATAGTAGTCTTTTATGCTCTCTAAAGAAGGTATTTGAAATGAACAAATCATTGATTTTTCAGAATTCTATCATGAAACGGTTGAACATTAACAATAGAATTCTGTAAAATCAAATATTCAATGATAGACTGGTTAAATAAAATATAATGCACTAGAAAGAAAAGAATATTGGTTAGAATAATTTATTTACAATAATTTTTTCTCCTTTTTTCAGATGTATTTAGTTATCAGGAGTGTAATTTTTAGACACAACTTCATACAAAACACAAGGTTGGCAGTTCAAGTCAACTAACCGCTCTGTGGAAAAAAAGATGACTTTCTGCTCCTTCAAAGATTTTAATGAAAAGCTTCAAAAATCCTATACAAGGTCATTATGAATCAGAACTGACTCAACAGAACTAAAAATGTCACTTATAAACTAAAAATCATTATTTCTAAGGTTTTAAGAAATTTTTTTCAGAATATTAAAAATTCTTATAGGCAGTAAGTATTGCAATTCTTTCTATATTTTTATACCTCCTTTTCTGTAACATGCTTCAATTTTTTCCTAAATTTTATTTATTTTGCTGTTGAGATTATACACTGTAAAAGAAATATCAATTCAACAGTTTCTGCATGTATAATTTAGTGACACTGATAAAATTTTTCAAGCAACCATTCTCACCCCTTTTCTGAGTCCTTCCTCCCTCATTAACATACACACACTGCCCCCCTAAGGTTCCCATCTAATCATTTGAGTTGCTGTGATCAATCTAATCTCATATACATAAATCTTAGCAGACTATGTTTAAAGCAGACCTTATTTGACTAGTTAAACTAAACTAGTTTGGTTTTAAGATAACTTCAGGGGACAGTTAGGTTTAAGGTTTAAAGATGATCTCATGGCAATAATTTCAGGAGTTCATAAAGCCTAAATAACATCAGGAAATCTGGAGTCTTGTGAGAATTTTCAAACTGTTACCCCTTTTGATCAGAATTCTTATATAGACTCTTCGATTAAAATGTTCAGTAATGATAGTCAGGCACCATCCAATTCTCGTCTCATGGCAACAGAAGCAGTTTGTTCATGGAGGCAATTAGCCACACATTCCATATCCTCTTCCTATTCCTAACTCTACTTCCTCTGTTGCTCCAGGAGAACAGAAATACATTTTTTGCCTTAGATGGCCATTTATAAGCTTTTAAGACCACAGGCACTACTCAATGAACTACACAATACATTATTAGGCCAATTAACTGGGATGTCTCAGGAAACCATAACCTTAAAACTCTACATCAAAGAACCAAATTCCATGAGGTGTTTGGTTGTATACAAGCAACTCAGCACTATTCGTCACTGTTGCACTGTTTCACATACATTACCCTACTTTGCCAATAAAACTTTTTAGATGCGTGTAACTTATTGACAGTAATTAAGATAATCAACTGAGTAACTGTAACCTGCAATTTTTCCATCACTGCTAACCCTTTTTATCCCCCTATCTCCCACCTCTGTTAACCACTAATAAAGTTGGTCTCTGTACATTTGCCTTTTCTTGTCTTTTTTGCAAGTGAGCTCATACAATATTTGTGATTGGCTTATTTCACTCAATGTGTCTTCTAGCTCTGTCCATACTGTACATGTATCAAGACTTCATTTCTAGTGCTTACGAATCTGGCTGCAAACCGCGAGGTCAGCAGTTCGAAACCACCAGATGTTCCGCAGGAGAAAGATGAGGCTTTCTGCTCCAGTAAAGATTTACAGCCTCAGAAACCCTGTACAGGGTCGCTATTAGTTGGAACCAACTCCACGGCACATAACAACTGACTAAATAGCATTCCATTGTATACTACATTTTGTTTATCCATTCATCTGTTGATAACCATTGGCAATTGTGAATATTGCTGAAATAAACATTGGTATACAAATCTCTTTCCGAGTTTCTGCTTTCAAGTGTTTGTGCTATATACCTAGTAGAACTGCCGGGTCATATGGTAGTTGTGGAGTCCTAGTGTAGTGCTGTAGGATAATCACTGGACCTCAAGGTTGGCTTGAATCATAGGTGGGTGATTCAAACCACCATCTGCTCTTCATAAACCCTCCAACTCAACTTAACAAAAAACTGGTAGTTTGATTTTTAGTTTTTTGAGAAGCTGCCACATTGTTTTCCACAATGGCTTTCCCAGTTTGCATTTCCACCAGCAAGGTTAAGGGTCCAAAAAATATTTTATTTTTACCTCAAATAATTTTATATGTGGACTCGGCTTTGCAATCTCTTCATTTATACTTGGATTACTTCTTCCTGGTGGCACAAATTTCAGTTTTTTCGAAGGATTCCCCTGCAACTGACTTGGTGCTACAGATCGTCTCATATTCAGAAGCACTAATCTGAAAAATATAAAAAACAGAGATCACACATTAATCTGATCAGTTGTTGTTGTTGTTGTTAAGTGCCATCGAGTCGGGTCCGACCCATAGCGACCCTGTACAGGGTTTCCGAGGGTGTAAATCTTTACGGGAGTAGAAAGCCTCATCTTTCTCCCGCAGAGCGGCTGGTAGTTTCGAACTGCTGACCTTAAGGTTCGCAGCCCAATTCATAACCACTACGCTACCAGAGCTCCTTAATCTGATCAGTAGTGCCCCCAAAAATGAAACAGTTAAACACTACAACCATGACAGCTTAAGACAAATGTAAGAGAATAAGCCTGTAATAAGTCAGAAAACCAAAAATGAAGAACACGCTTAGCATTTCTCAAGCTAGGGGAACTGAAGATAAAAACAAGTCTTGACTTTCGTTATTGAAAGATTCTCTGGGCAAATTACTGACAGATGCAGAAAGCATCAAAAGAAGATGGAAGGAATATACAGAGTCACTGTACCAAAAGAAAATGGTTAAATGTTGAACCGTTTCAAGAGGTAGCATATGATCAAGAGCCAATGATACTGAAGGAGGAAGTCCAAGGTGTATTGAAGGAATTGGCAAAGAACAAGGCACCAGGAATTGATGGAAGAAAAATTGAAATCTTTCAAGAAAGTGAGGCGGCACAGGAGGCACTCACTCATCTCTGCCAAGAAATTTGGAAGACTACTACCATCTACAGAGAGCTAGCTACATGGCAGATATGACCAACATGTCCATATACAGAGAGCATGTTACCGGATAGGTAAGTCCAAAATATCCATATACAGAGAGCTACCTACTTCACCAGGGAGGAGATCTGGGCAGCCAACAAACATATGAAGAAATGTTCATTATCACTAGCCATTAGAAAGATGCAAATCAAAACAACAATGAGATATCATCTCACGCCAGCAATAACAGCAAAGATTTAAAAAGTTGAGGACAATAAATGCTGGCAGGGATGTGGAGAGACTGGGACACTCGTGCATTGCTGGTGGGACTGCAAAATGGTCCAACCTCTCTGGAAAGCAATGTGGCGCTTCCTCACAAGGTTGAAAATAGAAATACCATAGGACCCAGCAATTCCTCTACT